CTGTCCTTACTATCCATTCTTTTCATCATCCTGCTTGGTTTTGGCATCTCCCATTCATTTTCTTGAGAACTCTTTAATTAGGACAAAAGTGTTTTTTAAAAATTATTCTATTTCTTTATATAATATTGTTATATAAATAAAATTATTTTATGATTAGGACAAAATCGAATACAAAAATAATTATGCTTATATTTGAAATCACATTCCTAGATCTCAAGCATATACCTTCACTTGCCTTGATAAAATACTGTGCTGATTTATCTGAGTATTTGTTCTTAGAGGTCTAGCTGACTTTCTGGAGATTTTGCCGAATTTCATCTGGGCCTACACAGGCCAATTACCAATTCCTTAATACTTACTATGTGTTTTGAGGGGGAATCACAGAAAGAGGAATAAGAATATTCTAGGCCAATATAAAATCTCAAGGAGCCAAAGCAAATTGCAAAGATAGGGGCCTGCTTGAAGAGATTTTCAGTGCATCATTCCAGGCATGTAAATATCTTTTATCCTGTTTGCAGAATGTTTTGGAAATCAAGGCAATTGTACACAAGAAAACTGACATATGATTCAGATGAGGGAGTCCCACTTACATGGAGAAGAAAGCATTTTAAAGGAAAAAGAAGAGACCATCACGAAGTGCAGGTCTACAATGAGATGATCACATTTCCCTGTTCCATATGCAAGCATGAAATTGACCTACCTGGAATATTCCTCCATAAAAAGCAGCATGTAGCTCTGGCTACATTGGGCTTTCAGTGGATGGGTGGGAAGAAACCAGGGCTCTCAGCGATTGCTGATCAGAGGCAGTCCATCATTGCTAAACTATTGTCATCTTTTGCATTTACTGAAAAAATCTTACAGAGCATTAATAATGCTTTTGAGCTCCTTTGCAAGAAACAAATACCAGCATACTATAAAATTATTGATAACATTCCCAAGAGTTCAATATATCCTCAAAAAATCTGTCATCTATTAATTAAAGGAGCAGCCATTTGCGAAGACAGGAATTCTACATGGAGAGCTGACATGAATGATAAATTCACCGTCGTGAATAATTTTGGCAACAAACCCAATGTGTGTTTTTTTGGTTTGTTTGATGGACATCACGGTGCCTCGGCAGCAGACTTGACATCAATGGAACTCCCAGTTTTACTTCTCCACCACCTTTCCAGACTTGATCCTACCTACCAAATGACCCCTGAAGAGCAAAAAGTAATCAATTCTTTTCACACAGTGTTTAGAGAAGACTACAGAGCTATAGAAGATTCCTTCTCCATAAAGAAAAAGACAAAAGCATTGAAAAGTGAGTATGAGAACATACACAAAGCCTTTGCAAAAGCATTTTGGAGAATGGACAGGCTTTTACGTCTTGGAAGGAAAGAAGCGTCCAGGGCTCGATGGAGCGGCTGTTCTGCAGTTACTTGCATATTGGAAGGCAACATTAAAAGTCCCAAAGCTAAGAAGTCTTGGAGAAGATTCAATGACCTTGATGCTTCTTTGGTCCCTTTCCAGGGGATGCCGAAAATAATTTCTGGAGTGCTACATATTGCAAACACTGGTATGTATATTGAATGGTACCAGGTTACACCTTAACATGTTTTATTCCTGGCAGCAAAACCTCTCTTGCTTCCAGAATTATCTAGTGACCTATTATTTAATGACTTACTAGTGCCTAGATATTTCACTGACCAATTTAAGAAACGACCAATAACCACAGTTTAAATGTAGATTTACAGGCACAAAATGAATTGTAATTATGTCTCAAGGAGGCACGTACATGAAATAATGTGACCAAAACATGACGTTTTCTAAATGGGGTAGCAACACAGCTATTGATAAAGGCAAAGCAAATCTATTACATTTGCTCAGATTGGAATGAAACCAAAACATTTCCCACACTTCCCTTTTTCGGGAGAATGGCAAGTTCTTTGAGTGTTGTTAGTATAGCTGCTAAACTGGTCAGTTTTTCTGGTAACTAACATATTTGCAACAGGTCACTCTTGTGCTCACTGGCCAAGTTGCATCGATTTCATCTTAGGAAAAACAATCGTTCATGGTTCAGTTTTATAGGCGTGTATTTCCTTCCCCAAAAATTTTGGCTGGATTCTTTTAATTTTATTTCAAGAAGCAATTCTTTTGACATGCTGTGCTGAAGTTCTAGCTAAGGAGCTTGCCAAAATCGAAAGCCCAGAGGTAAAACAGTTTTAGCCAAGTTAACCCGAGTTCCATGCTCATTTCCATGAGATGCTTAACTAGGGTTCCACCACCACTTTCCTCGGTAGAATTATTATTAATGACAGTGTGCACTTACTGAATATTGCGCACAGAGTAATTTCTCATGTAGTCTTCCAAGAACTCTGATATCTAAAGATATCTAAGTATTGTTTTTAAAAAAATATATTGGACATGTAACGTTGTGTAAGTTTAAGAAGCACAACATGTTAATTTGATACGCTTTTATATTGTAACATGATTGCCATTGTAGCGATAATTACCACTTCTATCACATTACATAATCATCATTTCTTTATAGTGGTTGAAAAAATTAAGTTCTAGTCTCTTAGCAAGCTTGATGATTAAAATATATACATTCTCTCTGTTCCCAATATTGTGCATTAGACCTCTAAGACGTATTTACTGCTTGTTGCAAGTTTGGACCCTTAAACCACATCTGTTCTCCTTCCCAACCCCTGCCGCCATTTCTAAGTGGTGTTGACCCAATTGTCCAGATGAGAAAATAGAAGCTCGGAGGGGTGCAATTATTTGTTCAAGGTGTCAGAGGTAATAGGAATTGGAGCTGGAAATCAAACTGCCTCTGAAGGGGATTGCTTCCAGAGTCTGAGGAGTCTGGGCCTCAGGGAGTGGGACTTTGGCCCACACCAGGGCCAGATATACTCACCAAGACCATTACAATGTCAAGGTCCCTGGAAGCCGGCCTGTTTCTGATCTAACTCTGGTTGTGAGCCCAAAATGAGAACACCAGATTAAGCAATACCATGGAGCCAAGTGCAATGCCAATTTCCTTGGAGCATTTGCCATTTCTCAGGCCCTACCCTGAGGTTCCAAAGTGCTTCAGAGCAGTCCTACTTCATGGATGGAGAGTTTTCAGATTTCAAACTAATCTGGGAACTGACCCATAACCTTGGACTTTGGACCTCTATTAGAAAATATCATTTGATATCATGGTTCCTGGGAAATTAAAGGAAAATATATGAGATACTCAATAAGTAGATACTATCATCAAATGTTCAGTTTACTATGATTCATTACTTCCAAGCCCACTGTTGTTTGGCAGGTTCTAATTTCCAGGTCAAACATTTTTTGGATTTAATTTACAGGCTTACATACATAACTGTGATAAAATGTTTTCATTTGGGCATCCTTCATTCTAATAGAAACAAATAAGTAGGGGGAAAAAAATCCAACTTGTGAAAGGGAGGTCATGATTTATGATACGAAAGTGCTCCTAAAAGAAAGTAATTTAAATGAGTTACAAAAAATAAATGTTCACACAAATTTATCAAGGGCATGTTTTGTATTTTATAAAACAAGACCTATAAAGATAGCAAGGGAATTCATTTTTCTTGTTTGAAATTTGTCAAATACCAGTATCATCACAACTCTGGAATTAAAACCAAGAAAAAAACTCCACCTCACTTTATAATGAAACATGAGTGTGGTGATACAGTCAATGAATAAGTGTTGAATTTGTACATGTGGAAAAAGGTCCTTCCAAACAGACATTCCTGACATTTTGTCCTTAGCACTTCTCATTTATATTGCATTTTATCACTTCTCCTGGTGCTCTCTTATTTTACTTCACTTAATCCTCACAGGATTAAAACTCAAACATATTGATACAGCATACATAATTACACTTTTTTCACAACATCAAATAAACCACAAATTTTTACATTTCTAATTAACCACACTAGTTCCTTATAAACATATGGGATTCTTATTTGATCCCTTAAATCCTTTTCCCCAGCGATTTTATATTTAATAGCTTTATTGAGATACAACTCACAAAGCACACAGTTCATCCAGGTAAAGTCTACAGCTCAATGATTTTTAGTATATTCACTGATACAGCCTTTTCTCCCCATCTTTTTATCTTTGAATCAAGTGTCTTCTTAGAGAACATATAGTTGGATCTTGTTTGTGTTCGTTTACTGTGGTTGCTGTTACAAATTTACCATAGATTTGGTGGCTCACACAAAAGAAATTTATTCTCTTACAGTTCAAGAAGTTCTAAACCAGCATAACTGGCCCAACGTCTTCATGGCAGCACTCCCTCCAGAGGATGTGGGAAAGAATTTGTTCCTCGCTCCTTCCACCTTCTGCTTGGCTGCCAGTATTCCTTGGGTTGTGGCCACATCCCTCTGATCTCAAATGTGCCTCCATGTGCACATTTCCTTCTTCTGTGCCTGTAGCCAAATCTCCCTCTTGTGGTTGAATTTAGAACCCACCCAGACAATCCAGTGTTAAGCATCTCAGGATCATTAATCACATCTTCAAAGTCTTTGTCATATAAGGTAACATTTACAGGCTCCAGAGATTAGGTTCTGATATCTTTGGGGATTTTATTCAGCCAGCCACCATGTTTGCTTGTTTGTTTTTCCATTCTGCCAAACTTTGCCTTTTGATTCAAGTATTTAATTCATTTACATTTAAGGTAATTAACTATAGGGTAGGATATATGTCTGACATTTTGCTGTTTGTTTTCTATATATACATCTTTTGTTTTTCTATTCCTCCGTCACTGCTTTTCTTTTCCTCAACTAAGATTAGTCATCCTTCTTTTAAATTTATTTATTTTTTTATACAGCAGGTTCTTATTAGTCATCCATTTTATACACATCAGTATATACATGTCAATCCCAAGCTCCCAATTCATCACACAAACCCCCCCAACCCCCTGCCGCTTTCCCCCCTTGGTGTCCATATGTTTGTTCTCTGCATCTGTGTCTCAATTTCTGTCCTGCAAACCAGTTCATCTGTACCATTTTTCTAGGTTCCACATAATGCGTTAATATATGATATTTGTTTTTCTCTTTCTGACTTACTTCACTCTGTATGACAGTCTCTAGATCAATCCATGTCTCAACAAATGACTCAGTTTCGTTCCTTTTTTTTTTTTTTTTTTTTCGCGGTATGTGGGCCTCTCACTGTTGTGGCCTCTCCCATTGCGGAGCACAGGCTCTGGACGCGCAGG